GGGGGGAAAGGTGGGTGTTGGAGGGGAAAGTGCTCGTTGCTCCAGGGAGGGAATGTGTCTGCCCAGAGCAGCCAGAAAGGGAAGGAAACGGTGAATTTGTGTGCTTCTCTATTTTAACGTAGCAAAACCACTGGGCTGAAGATACCCTTTTGTTACTTAAGTGGCTAAGAACACTTACAAACAGTAAAGATTTGCCCATTTTAGGAATCTTATTGCTTATCATTACATTTTCTTCTGCCACGAACCCCAGAATTGCCCTTCCAGGGGCTGCTGCCTCCTGCTGCCTGCAGCCTTTCTGGGGTACCCGTGCTGTGCGGCTGAGTGTGGCACTGAAAGCCTGACAGAGTTAGTTACAGAGCTGGAAATAAAACACAGCTTGACAACATGCACCTCAACAGGAACCTGCGGAGGCCGGGGGGGCGGGACCACCCCGGGGCGTGGAGGGGGTGACGTGGGTGCTCTGCACCCCCAGGGCAACAACCCCAGGGTCACCCTCAGGAACCTGCGGGGGGGTTGAAAAAATCAGAAAAACCTTGTAAAAACTGTTCAACGTGATAAGCAGCAAAGTCACACGATCCCCTGAGCTTCCACTGAGATCATGACTGTTCATTTGTCTTGTTGCAGCATCTTGGTTTGGTTTGTTTTGGTATGAGGTTCCCAGCAGTGTTCAATGGTTGGAGTTAACAAGCACAGAGCGACAAGATGGCAATAGTTAGGGTAAGCTTTCCAGGTTCAGAATGTCAAAAAAAATCTTCCTGAATTTGATATAATTTTCCAGAGGAGCATGGGGTCATAGGACACATCCGTTTCTGACAAAACGGATTTCTCAGAATGTAAAACCTGTTCGTGCTGTCACACCCTGTGAAGGTTTGGGCCATTATTGTAGAGCTTGGATGGAATTAAAACCCGAGCAACCAAACGTTCCCTTTCCACGTGTGGCACAACCTCAGGGCAAAGCTCTGGGAGCTGCAGCAGCCCCGAGGGGCAGCCGGGCTGGGACCCCCGGCTGCGGGGCTGGCTCGGACCGTCTGAGCAAACCCCCTGGAGCCCACTCCCCGCTCTGGAAAGCAGCTCCAGCCCCTCCGCACGCAGGAGCCCCCTTAGAGGGAAGGCAGAGCCGGCTCCTGCTGCTGGTTGTGCTGGGAGCCGAGAGGACGGTGCCCCTCAACTCCCCC